TGGTCATGATACAGGAATTTCTAACTTAAATACCTTGAAAAATATCAATATTAAAGTACCCGTGAACCGGAATTTGCAACTGACTTCAGTGTTGTGATGTATTTCCGAGTGAAACAGAATATTGAATAAAGGGCGGGGTTTGATAGTGGTGCACCTCCTCTCCACCTCTTGCTCATAGCAGATTAACGGTTGGATAGTGGTTAAGAATATCTGCTTGTTACGTCTGACATCATGCTTCACCGCTTCAGGGTCCTAACGCTCTGCCAGACGCCCCCCAAAAAACAACAAACTGTGATAATATACACCCACGATGTCATGTAATACTGAAAAATTATAACCCAAACCTTTATCTCCATACTGAAATCCCAGATGGCCAGACAGTGATTCGGCTAAAATATTAGTGTCTGAGACACTGTGAGCACGGAGACTGAAGTGTGCACAGCAAATTTTTAAATGCTTAGCTTAAATATGTAATATTAATTAAATAGTGCTCATAAATGGCTGTTGAGATAGGATTCTCAAGTGAAATGAGTAGAGGCATGGACCCGGAAACAGCAGTCCTTGCGTCATACTTAACAAGAGGATTCCCCCAAAGCCGCCAAATTGACGTCATCAGAGCCATAACGGCATTCCAGAGCGGAAGCGAATTTTTAGTTTTTGATTAAAGATTATGACGGCCTACAATTTTGTATTGTATTGACTTGACGGTGTATTAAGTGTGTATTAAATGTTCACCACAAGACTAGTAATGTGCACTAAAAAAGTAGGATCATTTTTGATTTCATGACGACTTTAATCATTTTTAATACCATTGGCAAAACTATACTGTATACTGCCATATAGATATTTTAATATCTCAATTATTTTTTTGTCCATCCATTTTTTGTCAAGGCAACCATTATTTCAAGCTTTAAATGGTTTAATCCAAGTCTTCTAAAAAAGACACGTTTGCTTTATATGATAAACAGATTTTAATATAGGCTTTTATTTACATACATATAAACATTGATCAATTACCATTACAAAAATCTTAAACATTTGCTCAGTCTGTGTATTTGTGTCTTTAAAATAGGGTAACTTTGTTGCAAACGTTTACAGCACGAGGAAGCATGATTTAAAATTTTATTTCAAACTGAATTGAATTTACAAAAAAAAGACAAGCGCACAGTCAGTAATAAAAATGATATAAACAAATTACCTAAAGTCAGATGAGGTATTCAAAATATGACAACACTGAATTTTTATAAGCAGTGTTTTAAGAGCCATATATGTGGTTTGTTTAGATAAACGGAACATCAGATGGCTTTGACCTGTAATGTCTGTACAATGTAGTGATGCAGTTAGACAGACTAGGATATTTATATGTACAAATCATACAAAAATCCCATTCCGAAACATTTCTAGCATAGGCCTACTTACATTGTAAAGAAATTAAAATTAAATTTTTGATAGTTGAAAGACTTTCTGATGCATTTCACTTACAGCCAATAAAATTTCCAGTAGCATTTTCATCGGTCAGGCGTGGATCTATTCTACTTGACAAAGTTTAATCCAGGAGAAAAGAGGAATCATTTCTGGCACGGGAGATCGCGATTGCACACGGTCTGAGAACGCACAAGCAATATCGGAGTGAGAGGACAGGCAGTTCATTTGTATAAGTTAGGCCTATTTGAGAGCTTGCATTCAGTTTTCTACGATTTCATGACGGTGTTCTCATGTTACAATAAAGAGCTAGGCACTTTGCGCGGTAATGATTAAAATTATGCGGAATACCTGCAATCCTGCGTGGATATTCAGACTCTGTAATCGACAGGAGGCGATGCGTGTCAAACTCACTGTCGGAGAGAGGAGAGAGCGAGACACAGCTTGTATCGGTGTAGGCTATATACGGGAGATACTGTGGAAAATTAGTAATGGAACCGTGTCGGATATTTCAGTATCGGTATCAAAATATAGATATTTATGATAACACTACCATGTAGTTTGTTTCTCCAAACTTTGAGTCCATAAATTACGCTGAGCTCCCTCACTGTCCCCTGCCGATTATTATTATTATTATTATTATTATTATTTGCTTAACCACTTTAAAATGGCTTTTTGGTTGCTTTTAGTCAGAAAACGTAAAGAAAACGACATACATACAGCAAGATAATATAATTTCACTTACCTGGCCTATCACTTGAAGCAAACATCCATCCCTTCTTAAAAGTCTGTGTTAAAAGAGCCGACTGCTGAAATGTTAGCCTGTATCTAGCTTAGGCATGTTCTCCCTTTATTTTTAATTTGTATATATACTGTTTGAATGACAGCTTTGTAAATCTGTTGGCAATCAAATATTCAATATCGCTACTCATAAGTACTTGGTACATCATCAGCGCAGCGGGAGACGTTCAAACTAATATCACATAACTTACGTCTCTATTATGATTGGTTGATATACCAGAAGGGAGGCTAGCCTCCCTTACGAGGCTTATTTTCTCAACACTCCTCAGCGCTGAAAGTGAACACTCGATGCTGATTGGATTTTTTATTTTTTTTTACCAATGGAGGCACGAGAGCTCAGCTCTCCCCCGGCCTCCCCCTCCCCTTCTCTATCATTAGCGGTTGCAATTACATCAGCAGATT